CTTCGAAATGTCATCAAAACTATCGATGGGCTGCCACAAGGATACAGCAATAAGTGCGTTGCTGTTTTGAACGACATAGATTTCATCATCGTGGCCCGTAACGCCATCATGCTCCTCATTGCGCTCCAATTCGAACCAAAAGATGCAGTACCGATGATCATCCACTTGTGGTACTCAGCGTTACTTCCTTCTCGTATAATGCAGGCGATTCAGATCAACATCCTTCCTATGGTCGAACATGTTTGCCAGCAGATCAAGAACAAGCCCGAAAGTGTACTGCAGGCGAAGACATTTGGGTCAGGTGACCGAAAGCTACGCATTACCCTCAAGAAGGAAGACTGGATCCGCTTAGCGAGGTTTTGTCGGGTCTTGGAGGGATTGACAGCGGAAGCTGCACAACAGATTCGTCACCGTATCATGCTGGCTGCTGAGAGGGTTGACTATCGTGATCGTGCTCTGCTGAACATGCCCGCTGGTGTCCGCCAAGGTGAGATGTACTTTCGTCACACTGGTGTTTTGCTGCCTTATGGTTGCTCCACCATAGACTTTGACACACCTAACCCGTAAGCACTATCTAAAAGCATGAAATTATCAGACGCTAACATCATCCAAGCACCCTATTTTCTTCAGGTGATTGGCCGATGAAAGACAATGCTAGTCCCCGCGATGGTTGGCTTTTTGACGAGTATATGCAGGATGCCCCAGCTGCGAAAGCAGATGAGTTCGGTGCTATCTTTTTCCATATCCGAAGACTGCTTCTCAAGTTTTGTGGCCGGCTCCAGGGCTCTAACATCTCGTTCCGGCTGTTTAACATGGATGCCCAATATCTAGGAGGCTATCTCGATGAGATGAAGTTCGATCGTATCGAGGTAAGACACACACTCATCGGTCCTCACTAAGCATTACCATTGACATTGACATGGATCTCCAACGTATGCGATCGAGGCTTTATTGGCCCCCACATTTGCCTCCAGGTCTTCTCGCAACTCCTCAAATCGGCTGCACAGAACCCCAAAGCCACGTTGCTTATGCTCTTCATCAATGCTGCCGTCGAGACCGATCACGCAGTAAACCCACAAGGCGATGTACTGTCGGTGGTATCGGCAATGAAACGGCTCGACAAGTACATGCCAGTCGGAAAACCACGAGCGACTCTTCCTAGAGGTATGTTGGGCACGAATGCACATCCTGAACTGATCTTACGTACTGCCTGCTATAACCTGTTTAAACCGTGGGACAAGTACTTCGATATGTTCATGGATGAGGCCAGGATTACTCAGTTCGCTGCGCTGTGCGGGATGGCTATCAAAAAAGAGCACACCATTGTTCAGCCTTGGCCATATAAGATTCGGAATTGCACCACCAAAAAGGAGTTCGATATTCTACGTGCTGGAAGTTTGACAGGATTTGAGCGTTATATGGAGTTTCAGAAGTTTGAAGATGTCGCTGACGACATGAGTTTTGAGTTTGCTGGCATGCAATTATAGGTCCTCCTTCTCTCATAGCTCTTTTGAATTCAAAAGAGTGGTGGCTATCATAGCCATCAAGGACGAAGGATCGACGTATGTCCACAATCTTGCCCTATGTATGCTTGACAAAATGCTTTAGCCATTTTACTACTGGCTCGTTGTTCTTCCAGCCCCTATCATCGACCATAATTGCTCGGTTGCGGAAGATGCCTTCCTCGTACCAGAAAGATGAGTGATACTAGCCGCCAAAGATAAGGGAAGCTGGGACAAGTCAGCCAGCTATTTTAATCGCAGCGATCAACATTACACAGTCATGATTGCCTTTTCAAGCCTACAATCGTATCATA